AGTGTCCTCCCCCCCCCTCAACTCTTTGTGGTTCTACCTGGCAGAAATCAGTATGTACCACAACTCCACATGGTTACTCAGTTTTTTGCCTATCCACTGACTACAGGGTCTGGAAGAGTCTAATCAGAACCTGTCCACCAGTAAGGAAATTTACTCCTAAGTGGGACTTAAACCTTGTTTTTTTTTCAGTGTTCACAAAGCTTTCATTCTAATCTAATCACTGGCTACATGTTTCACATCTTCGAAGGTTGCTTTCCTAGTGGACATCACCTTATGCATGAGGTGGGCAAGCTCGGAGCACTGATAACAGATCTGTCTTGCACCATCTTTCATATCTCACTGCATTTGCATCTTCCATTCACCTCCATAGTAGTTTGTTTCACGTGAACTTGTCAATTCACTTACCTGTGTTTTTCCCAAAACTATGAGAGTCCGAAAAAGAAAAGACTTAATTTCGTCCAAGTGTGCTACTTGCAATAAACAAATCCAGTCAGAAAATATCCCCATTTGTTTATCACTTGAAGAGTTTGAGGTCAAGCTCTATCATCTAAAGATCTCTAAATGCATCTCAAGTGCCAGTTCTCTAATGTTCCTCTGCTTCATTGGGTGCAGGCTCATTCTACAAGAACTCAGGTAACATTAATGCCATTGCTTCAGGAAATACCTCTAATTGACATTTGCAAAGCAGCTAAATGGAGTTCGATCCACACGTTTACAACACATTATGCTTAAGTTCAGGACTGATACAGTCACCCACAACTGAATATAAATAGGCACCAGCACTCCATGAAGAAGAGCAAATTAGGTACTTTTATTCGGAGGTTATTCAAGCTGTGGGGTCCCTATTTATATTCTTTTACTTCCTCTTGTTCCTCTCTGCTTTGAATCATTCCTGGTTTTGTGGTGGTAGAGAAAGATCTGGAGAGAGAGTCTGTCTTCTCTGACCTTTAACTTCTTGGTTAACAACGTAAAGAGAGAGAGGGGGCCTGGCATGAACCAATGTTTCTCTTACTCGAGATGCATGGAGCATGTGCAGTACCCACAATAGAATATGGATAATGATTATTCATCTTGAAGAACCTTGAGTAACAATAAGGTAAATAACTTTCTCTATGGTATTGTACCCAATACTGCACTTGAGGAATAAAACTTCTGTGCACTATCACCTTCTCCTTGAAGTACACTTTGGATTGCCAAAATTTGAATGGGGCCTGAGGAGGAAACTGGCAAATTGTGATAACTGGGCATACAGTTCCTTTCTTTTGCTATTTGGAAGCATTTATAAGCAGGCTCAGGACACCAGTTTCTATTTACATGCCATCTTGAATATGTCAATCAATGGGTCCCGGATTTATAAAACCAGTGTGGTATAGCTTTAGAATTTTAAGTGCAGATCAGTGACAAGGGAAAAAACCCTAACATCGACTACCCAAAAATAGTCGTCATCTCATTGAGCAGTCATATTTGAGAACTGTGTTTGTCTGTAACTTTAAAAACGAGCCATCCTGTGAAACCTTAGAGACTAACAAATATATCATGAGCTTTTGTGGGCAAAAGCCATTTCATCAGAAAGCTCATGATATAATATATTTGTTAGTCTCTAAGGTGTCACAGGATGGCTTGTTTTTAAAGTTACAAAGAAACACAGTTACCCCTCTGAGACTTTTGGTCAGAAAGATGATCCTGACACACACAAACATGTCCTCCAAAGGGCAGTCATGGTCTTTGCATTCAAACTGTAAATATTTCCACTTAAATGAAGAAAATGATTTTTCAGTTAAAAAGCATGCCTTAGATCAAGCACAGAACCTGAAACATGAGACTAAAGCATACCACGTAAACAACGTCAGTATTTTTTCCTGTTACATTTTGTCCTCTGTAGGTAAAACAAATCTTCAAACCACAGAGCAAAACAATAAACTAACTTTTGGGGTGTATTTAACTGGCACTCATTTAAAAAGAATCGATCATGTATATTATAGTTCTGAAATGTTTAAAGTGATTGTGATAGCATGTGTTTCATATAATGCCAGCAATTTTTTTTAAATTTCTTTATCACCTAAGTATGTTGCACTATTTTAAGTTCTGCTTTAAATTATACTATTTCCTCAATAGTTTAATGATACCTCAGCTGAATTTTGGAGTGCCATGAAATAACTGATGCCTTATCCTCCCTATAATCTGGAATACCGTGAGAAGGACCAAGAATCAAGGGGCATTAAAGTTCACAATGGTGTCCCAATGACTTTTGCTCCTAAGCAGGACTAATATTTTCCCATGGCAAAACACTGAACTTTTTTATCTGTGTTTTACAACCAGTTAATACTTTTCCTTCCCTTTACATGTGGATTACTTGATTACTGGGAGTCAGCATGCCTGTAGTATGCTACTTGGGAAAAGAGAGGAAAAAAAAGATTGTCCACTGATTATCACTTTCACTTTCACATCCTTTTTGCCACTCAAAATAGGAGTAAGTGATGTGGGTTCCTTCTTATACTGTAGAATAATTGCTGTGCTGAGAAAATTAGTGATAAAACACATTTCTTGAGATGTGGCTGACATTGTATCCTTCAATTGTCTTCATTCTAAATTTTGTTGAAGTTTTGCAAAATATTTGCTAGCTTCATACTGTGTATTTATAGTGTCTTGTGATATAATTTGAATTCCTACTTTTAGCTAGTGCCTCCTGTTGGTTGCAGTAGCAGTGAGTTTGTTTCCCTTTGCTTTTGTACTAATATGAGAAATAACTCTTTTTATAGGTAGAAGAAGGCTGGTGGAGTGGATCACTAAATGGCAAGTCAGGATTATTTCCTTCAAACTTTGTAAAAGAATTAGAATTGACAGACGATGGAGAAACACAAGAAGTCCTGGATGATGCAGGTAACAATCCATCATGTAACCCATCATATTTAGAGTACAGTGCTCTTATAGTCACTTACTTCAGGAATTTAGTTTTGGAAAGCTACAACAATAGTGAAAGGAAAGTTACATAGATTGTAAGCTGTGTAGTTATGTCTACACTACAGTGTTATTTCTAATTTGGCATTATTCCTCATGGACTTAGGCTTACCAAATTCAAAATAAGCGCTCCGCTATTTTGAATTAATTTCGAAATAGCGGTTTGGCTGTGTAGACACTAGTAAAGTTATTTCCAAATAATAGCTGTTATTTCGAAATAACTTTGCGGTGTAGACATACCCTGTGAGGGCAGGGACTGCACAAGTAGAACTTTGGCAACAAAGAAATAATTTGAGAACCTCACAAAAATGTTGTTACATAACATTTTTTCCTCTTTATGACTCCAATCACAAAAGTAATGTGAAAGACCTGATTCTGGAAACACTTGTCCCAGTGCATAACTTCACCAATATGAGGAGTATTTGCACGCTTAGAGTTAAATCATGGATTGGGACTTACATGTATAGTTTCTTTGTCAAGAAGTAAGTATTTGGGTTGTTTTTTCTCACTCCATCCTGACAGCTATGATACGGCCAGTTAGCACTAAGAATTTAATCTGAATAGACTTCGTAATAGGCCTAAAGCAATATAAATGTGGAAATTTAAGATACTTCACATGAAATGTTGAATTTTAGGAGGAGGGGATGCTAGATTCTCTGATGACCATTAACCGTAATGTATGATACATCCCCATTATGCTGTGTCTTGCATCCTTGATAAATTTCCCATTTTAATATTAAAAGCTTAACAACTATAAACTCAGATCAGATTTCATCCAAAGTGATAATATCCTAGACATTTGAATGTTTTGTGGTAATAGGTCATGGCCAGGAGAATGCAGTAGTAGACTTAAATAGCTGAAAAGCATTATTCTGTTAATGGGGACTCCAAGCAGGTATATAGTTTATAGGAAATGCAATCACTTAGTATAGTTTCTGTAAACTGTAATTTAAAGAAAATTTACAATTTATTCACTACCATGGTGTTGCTCATATGGACAACTTCATCTGGTGAACTCAATGATATTGAAAAGTAATATAAAAATAAAATCTAGATAATTTTTAACCTGTTCATAATTAGCTCTTTAAAAATAACAATACTAATTGAAGTGAAATTGATTTATTTTTATTAGTAGTTTTGAGAGCTGGTGAAAAAAATTAATTTAGCAACTTTTATGGAAAATATCCTTTCTATAATGTTTAATTAGGCCACAATTGCCTTTTCGCTGTGGCTATTCAAACATGGAAGAATTAAATAAGAATAATTCCAAGTTGAGTAGCTACTGCTGCTGAAATCAATAACACATGTAAAATTTGGCACACCATGTTCACATAAAAATACTAGGTCAATAAGATACATTAGCATATTTCATCAGAATTGGTGGAAAATGACTCGGGTCTCATTGCCTTCTGGCTGATGTTTGAGAAGTCAGGTCAAAAATCAGTGATCTGATTGCTTGATTGTTCTTAAGGGCTACCAGTTTACATTTGGTGTAGAAGTAGTGTAGTTGTAAACTGTCTTGAAATGCTTCACAGATGTAGTGTCTTCCTAAATATCTAGCTAGCAGAAAATGTGTGAACTTAAGGATGAAACTGCAATTCTAAGGACTATTTGGCAAGACCAGAGGATACAATTTCCTGATTTAATTTCCAGACTGACTAATGAATTAATAAATGCCAGTATTACTATTCATACAATAACCATTTTCTCTCAAATTTTTAGAGTCTGTTTTCACTGGCTCTTCTTCACCTGTGACCTCTCCAGGGAATGGAAATGAACCTGGAGCTGGATCAATAGCACAACCAAAGAAAATCCGAGGTGTTGGGTTTGGAGATATCTTTAAAGAAGGTTCAGTGAAACTTAAAACGAGATTATCCAGTAATGATTCAGAGGAGAAAAAGCAAGATAAGGTTTGTGGGAGCCCATATTTGGGCATGCTGTTTTGGTTTGAGAATCCAAATTAAAACCATATTTTTAATATCTCTGTTGGGGAAAAAAATCCCTTGGTAATTAGAAAATCTTCTGCCCTAGGATCTTACAGATGTAATTCATTAGATCTCTCAACACCTCCATTTAAGATCCCCTTTTCAAGAAAGGTGAATTTGATGTTCTCTCTGCTTTTCTGTATCTTAGTATATAGTAGGACTAAAAAGGGAAATGCACATCAGTCCTATGCTTTTTGAAAACTAACATATTTCAAGTAAGCTTCAGTAGACACAAAACAGTGATGGATACCATCCATTCAAAATGATCTCTCTAGATTGTCACAAAGCAGTGGGAGAGGAAAAAGAGAATAGTATCTCCTAGTACAGATGATTTGAAGAGATGCAATAAACCATTTTATTATAATTTTGTGTGCGCACGCGCACACACAATGTTTTTGTGAGACTTCCTGATTTCTGAAGTAGAAATAATAAAAATGTCCTTACTTGTGATATTTTTGTACTTCTGATACAATTAATAACTACAGAAGTGCATGAATCATGTCATTTGTTATTTTTAATTTCTTGATTTTTTTTTAAAATGAGGCTAAGATTGTTTTCTACTGTAGTAATAGGCAATACTGTACTGAAAGGGAAAAGTTCTGCAGTTAATGAGGACAAAGCACCTGATTGCAGTGCACAATGGAATATATATATGGTTGGAGTATGCAACCATTTTTTTACTGGTCAAACTGTTTAATATTTCACTACATTACAGGTATTTCAGCCTTACCATTCATTGTTGATTTTTTTAAAAAAAATTCTTTGCCTGATCAGGCTGGTGATCCCTCTAGTCTAGTATCCAGTCTTCCTAATCCTCATTTAATTGAAATTGTCTTATGCCTGAATTTTGTGTTTATATTCCCACTAACATTGTAAATCATTGCTAAGTTTTTATATCTTAATTGTAGAGTCAGGCATGCCCAATGCTTGGGGTGCTAGCCTGAAATTTTGCAGGCTTCAGTTAAATTCTGTGCTCTGCCACAGGCTTCCTGCAACCTTGGGCAGGTCCCTTAGTCTTTCTGTACCATGGTTTTATCACCATTTTGCAGGTGATATATGTGTGTGACATAAGATGTGGGTGAGGATAAATACATGAAATATTGTGAGGCACTTAGAGACAGTGGATAGTAGTTGACATTTACCTATATAAATGTCCAGTCCTTTTTATGGCTCTTGTTGAGTTCTTGGCTTGGATGTTACCTTCTGACTGAGGGTTCCATAGGCTTACCTGTCTGTTGTGTAAATTAAAAAAAAATTAAGCAATTTGCCATTCTTTCTTCCTTTATATTTTCATTCTATGCCCCCTTTTCCCCTTGTATTATGAGAGAAGACACTTGTAAGTGCCTGATCTTGCTACATCTAACTCAGTTCTGTTTGGTAGGGAGCTGGCAGTGATTAAGGGAATATATAAGAACATAAGTACGGCCATACTGGGTCAGACCAAAGGTCCATGTAGCCCAGTATCCTGTCTGCCAACAGTGGCCAGCACCAGGTGCCCCAGAGAGGGTGGACCGAAGACAATGATCAAGCGATTTGTCTCCTGCCATCCCTCTCCAGCCTCTGACAGAGGCCAAGGACACCATTTTATCCCCTGGCTAATAGCCTTTTATGGACCTAACCTCCATGAAATTATCTAGCTTCTCTTTAAACTCTATTATAGTCCTAGCCTTCACAGCCTCCTCTTACTTATATAGTTACTTTTATGCGGAATTTACTTGGCTATGATTGAGACTTCCACCAGTGTTCATCAGTGCTTAGCATTTGAATAGTGTGCTGGATGAACAGATTCTGAGAGGAGAACAGTTAAAATGTTGTGTGATTAAGCTTTCCATCCTGAGCTGTTGTGCACAATAGTGCATAATTTATATACGAATTCATGCCTGGTTCTTAAACTCTTGAAATATCTAAGCAAAGTGGTGTGCAATAAAGACAAAAGTAGCAACCACAAAATTATAACCTAAATAGAAAGAGCGGATTACTATATGTTTTGCTAAATAAAAACTCACTGTTCTGACCATTGTTTTGTCTCTGAGGCTATGTTTAGACTGTAGGTTTCTTTTGGAAGAACCTTTTTTCGGAACAGATCTTCTGAAAAAACTTCTTCCAAAAGAGAGCGCGCGCGCGCGCGCGCACACACACACACTGAAAAAGCGGTCTGCATTTAAGCTGTGATTACTATGGATGGAGTGGTCACCAGGGCACCTGTGCTTTTTCCTCTTTCTTCTTCTCTCGAAAACTCCCTCTTCTCTGTGCACCCACGCCTTTTTCAGAAAGAGCTCTTCCTCGCACAAAGAGGATTACCAACGCCGGAAAAACCCCTCTGGTATTTAGATTTACTTTACACTGCAATCCTGTTGTTCTGAGAGGTAACTCAGGTTTTGTTGGAAAAATGGATGTTTTTCCGACAAAACTCTGTAATATAGACATACCCTGATATTTATATGGAATGATATGAAAGCCTATTTAAAATATGTTGTATAAATTAACTTAAAGTATTTCAGCAGACTTTTTAAAGCTGGCTGAATATATATTTGTCTAATCTCCTTTCTCTTAGTAAGAAATATTGTAAGCCATTACAATTTTATTATAAATATCATAGGAAGGATTTCAGAGATTAAGTAAAACCAATCACTCAAGTGTATTGTGAAATTGGTTCTTTATAAGCATATGGGATGTATCTTATTTCCTTGCTGAGTGATGTGATTGAGTACTATTATCCTATCCAGGATATGTTTGTATAATTTAGAGTCTAATGGGTGAGCAGACTTTATACTGTGGGGTTTACTCAAGCAAGCAAGCAAGGAAGAATGTATTTTTGTTTACTTAATAGGCTTATCCTATAAACTGTTACAGACTTTCTCTCTCTCCTGATCAGAAAGACAAAGCAAGGAAGTTAAGTGAGAAAATAATATGAATAATTTAAAGGATATGAAATAAACTGTTTGAAACTGAAATTGTATTTAACATACCCACTCATGTCTGGTATTTTGCCAAAATAATAAAGTGCCTGCCAGAATGTGATACTTCTATAAGAGTTAAATTTATAGAGATTGTCTCTTCTCCAAAGAGTTTTTGCAATCTAGGACATGCAGAAGACAAGGGTACTGGCTGACCCGGAGCAGGGAATTAACTTTAATGAAGACTTCAGTAGAATAGCACTTTTAAAAATATCATAATGTGACTCACCGACTCTGATATTGGAGTGGTGGGAAGGAATGCATTAGTTGTTGATAGCTGGAGAAAATATGCTTTTAGGAGATGTTAAAAAGAGATGAGGCCTTTGCACACTGGTACAGAAAGGTAGAGTCCAGGCTTACTCCACTGTGGTATGTTTCAGATCGACTAAGTACCTTTGGACAGTGCACTGTATTGCAAAATACAGGATGAAGTTTAGTTGACTTCAGTACCTTGGCCAGATTCCAACTTAGGCATTTATATTCTGCCTACCTAAACTTCAACGTGCATTTTTAATTGGATATAATTTCCTACACTTTCCCCAGGGCTGTTCCCCACTCTGGCACTCTCAGTGCAGAAGATGGGGCTCCACAAGAGACCTTAAATACCTTGCCTCTTCTCTATAGGCTTTGCTTACAGAAACTTCCCAGAGTCACAGATTCACTAATTTTTGGAGGGGAAGAAGGGGTAGCTGTGACTACCAAGTGAAACAGGAAAAAAAAAACCCTCTTGTCTTGAACCCAGGAAGAAAGGACTTGGACTTCTTCCAGAAGGGTGCCCCCAAGCTCTTTTATCACAAGAGAGCTTGAAAAACAAAGAGAAAACAAACTGCATTCTCTGGTAGCTGACCTCTTAGTCTTAGGCATACAGACAAACCTGTTTCTTTCAGGGATACAAGAATCAAATCATCACCACCTTAAGGTGATTTTATTAACAAAACAAAAAGATATACTTGATAAAGCATACTTGGTTGCTAGTTGTTACAGAGCAAATGAGTAAAACAAATTAAAACACAGAGAACATCTCTGGGTATGCTCTTAGATAGTGACTGGAGGAATGAAGGCATAGATTCACACAGAGAAGTTTAACCAAACAACCAAAACAAAGAAAAATACCGTGATTGCAACTAAAAACACCTTTTCCCTCTATTCATGATCCGTGCTGATCCTTACTTTAAGGCCCAGTTCACTCCTATTCTCAGTATTTTTTTTATAGGGGGAGGGATAGCTCAGTGGTTTGAGCATTGGCCTGCTAAACCCAGCGTTGTGAGTTCAATCCTTGCGGAGGCGATTTGGGGCAAAAATTTGTCAGGGATGGTACTTGGTCCTGCTGTGAAGGCAGGGGACTGGACTTGATGACCTTTCAAGGTCATTTTCAGTTCTAGGAGATAGGCAATCTCAATTAATTTAATTTAAAATTTTATTTTATTTAATTCTCATTAGGGCACCTGGTGCCTTCAGCCCTTAACTTAGAAGACACACAAAGAGCAGACCAGATATCTGTCCATTTCAAATTACAGCACTGTGTTCCATTGGTTCTTTTGGCCCCCTGACAACACCCTTGCTAACTACCTGAGTTTAACCCTTTAGTCACTGAATGCTGGCTTTGTATGCATCACAGATGCTCAACTAGTTTCTTTTTGGAGGTAGTTTATTTCAGTGCAGGGTGGACAGATTCCTTAAATGGCATGGTTACCTTTTAGGGCTGTCAAGCAATTTAAAAAATTAATCATGATTAATCATGCTGTTAAACAAGAATAAGACTCCAGTTGACTCCGGGCTCTGCATTGCACTGCCTGCATTTCAAAGGGGCATGGGAACCTCAGATCAGCTGAGGGGGTGCTGCCCCTTTGAAATTCCTTCGTGGTGTTGCAAAGGGGCAGTGCAATGTAGAGCTTGGGGTCAGCTGGAGTTCCCAGTTGACCCCGCACTCTTTGCAGCACTGCTGCCGTGGTGTTTAAAAGGGGCAGCACCATGGGAACCCAGGATCAGCTGTGTGGGGTGCTGTCCCCTTTGAAACACCAAAGGGGCAGCACAGCGCAAAGCCTGGGGTCAGCTGGAGTCCCCAGCTGACCCCAGGCTCCGGGCAGGGCTGCCCCTTTGAATTGTGGCCATGGCATTTGCAAGGGGCTGTGAGAGCCTGGAATCAGCAGGAGTCCCCAGCTGACCCTGGGCTCTGTGCAGGGCTGCCACTTTCAATCACAGCCGCAGTGTTTCAAAGGGCAGCTCTGTAGGAGCCTAGGATCAGCTGGAGTCCCCAGCTGGTGCTGGACTCTGCTCCTCCTGCCCCTTTGAAACATGCTGGCAGCGTTGAAAAGGGGCAGCGCTGTATGGAGCTCCGGATCAACTGGAGTCCCCACCTGACCCTGGCTCCAGGCAGTGCTGCTCCCTTGAAATGCCGCCACTGTGCCGAGAGAACCCAGGGTCAGCTGGAGTCCCCAGCTGATTCTGGGATCCGCGTTGTGCTGCCCCTTTGAAATGCTGAGGCAACGTTTCAAAGGGGCAGCACCACAGCTGGTCTCGGCCTCTGCTCGTACTGCCCCTTTGAAATGCAGCGGCAGCATTGCAAAGGGGCAGCACCACAGCTGGTCTCGGCCTCTGCTCGTACTGCCCCTTTGAAATGCAGCGGCAGCATTGCAAAGGGGCAGCACTGCAGAGCCCGGGGTCAGCTGGTGACTCCAGCTGATCCCAGGCTTCTACCACACTGCCCCTTTGAAACAGCCTGGCAGCGTTTCAAAGGGACAGCACTGCGGAATTGCCTGTGATTAACACATTAAAAAATGAATGCGTTAATTGTGCTCTGCATTAATCACAGGCGTTAACGTGCGTTAATTGAAAGCCCTACTTTTTAGTGAAGAGTACTCAAGTAGTGATAGGATCTGTTAGGCTTGTAGGCTTAAGCTCTACAAAATTTGATTTTTAACATGTGAAAGGGGAAGATCAGTGATCCTTGTTCACGAGAATGGTGCTTACTGATATGAGAATTTTCAGTAGGATTACTAAGGTGATTATCAGCTATAGGATCAGGACCTAAGTTTCTATTTGATATAATTTGGAGGAAGAGTTGGTCAGAAAACAGTTTTTCCATTCTGCAAAAGTTTTTCAGATTTAATTTTTTTCTATTCCTTGTGGAAACTGAGCCCTTTGTGATTTTTTGGGAGTGGGGGGAAGAAAGCCGTCCAAGTATTGCCAGGATCCTGGAGGTCAGGGATTTTGCCTAAGATATGGGAGACTCAGGTTCAGGTTTCTGCTCTGCCTGGATTTTTCCCACATCACTGATGAGTACCCTCTAGGATATCTCTAAGTGGTTTTAAAATTCCACCCTAAACCTAAGAAATCTTTCTTGACCAGTTTGCCCAAACTGATAAAATGTCCTTGAAAAGTTTCAGCTTCAGTGAATCGGCGTTTTCTGACACAATGTTTAATCAAAATTCCTATTTAGTTCTGTTGTGAAGAAAATGTCTGAAAGTAATTGAAGCAGTAAGAATCTGTCTGTTGGCTCTGTGAGCCTGCTGAAACTGTCTCAGATAGAAGAAATGTGGTATGTTATCATAATGGGATATTAACGCACAAGCTTGAGGACAGATCAAATGTCTGTAGAATTAATTTTGTAGAAAACTCCAGCTTATGTTTTTATCTGCTTTGGTTGAATGCTGTGGCAGATACTAGGAATAAGCAGAAGGCAAGACTAGCAATTCTGTCACTTTTATTGCAGCAGTTTAAGTAGTGGAGTCCTATAGTTGTCTCTTTCTCTAGTTGGTAAGTACTGAAGCTCTCATTTGGACTGAATGATGATGGAGGTGGAAGAAGATGAAGTTGCTCTTTGGCTACCTCGCCTCCAAATCAAAAGCAATACTCTGTTTTCAGTTTACTGTTAAATCAGTGGCCTTAATATTGTAGCTATCTGAACGTAACTAAATTAAATACATATTGCAATAGTCTCAAAGAATGAATGCAACCTTTGATATATGAAATTAATTACCTAATTGTAAACTAGAGCTGTCACCATTTCAGTTAAATCATGAGAAGGTGTCTGATAGCCAAATCAAAATAAAATGCTTATAATTTTGCGCACTCCCTTTTTAAATAAGTTACTGTTGATTTTTTTTTTTTTTTTTGGTCTTGCATTTGTTTAGCCATCACCTAGCCTTCCAGCAGGACCAAAACCAACCCAGTTTCCTAGTGTAACAAAAGGAGAACCTACAGCTGATGTAACAAAAGTAGATACGGAAAGCAAACCAAAAGGTAAGGTTAATGTATTTTTGCCTCTGTTTTTCCATGTAGTCATAGAATCATGGAAACGTAGGACTGAAAAGGACCTTGATCAGTCATCTAGTCCACTCCCTGGCACTGAAGCAGGACATTAAGTATCACAGTATTATGTAGTTATGAAAGTATATAATAAAGTAACTCATTCTGATTATTAACTTAGATTTTTATTTACAAAAAAAATACTTGGTGCTTTTTCAGAGTCAGTGTCTTACAAATACTAAGTAGGGTTGGTTTAACTGTACTTTACAGATTGATGGAAGCCGAAGTCAGAGGTAGGGATGTGGAAGTGTAACCGTGTGCATGGTTAAATGAGCCTGGTCTCATTGGTTAACATTCATAATTACATGCAGGCTCCTGGTACATGTGGGGAGCTGGCTTAAAAGCCTCCTTCTGGCATATACTGGCTCCCAGGGAGCTGCCTGTGCTCCCCCCACTCTGTGTGTAACCACTGAAATTTGTAGCGGTTACGTAGGGATGTTAAAATGTGTTTGTGACTTCCCATATTGCTGCCTGTATTAAAAGTATTCAGATAATAGAATTACAGATAAAATCAAATTAACATAGGAGCTCTGTCCTTAAAAACATAAGGCCTCATTTATGCACACAATTGCTCTGATTTAACTAAAGATGCAAAGTCCTGTATGGACAATTTTACATTGATAGAAGCCTGGCTTCTGTAGGTTTAGATTGCTTTAGTAAATATTAAGATTGTGCCCGTACCAATATAACCTGTTTCATGTGATATTGGAGTACCCATAGAGGCCTTATGGATTGAGTTAACTAAATATGGCTTTTGACATTTTTTTGGGGTCTTGTCCACGTACAAACTTGACATTGGTTTGCTTAAAAAGGCATTTTTATATGTTTAGTTAAACTGGTGACGTGGTGATTCTCCCCTTACTCCCCCACAATGTAGGTTTAAGATAAAGCTCAAGTGTAAGCCATACTTTCATTCTAGGGGACTCTGTCCTGGGAAATAGTGACTCTTAACTACCAAACCCCCAAATTTTTTTCAATCAACTAAACACGAGCCACTACTGTAGTGCAATACTAGGATCAAAAGAGCTAGCATTCTGGAATGCATAAACAAAACCTTTAGGAAGAGCGAGCATGTATTTTATCTTTATATTTGGTATAGGTGTGGCCATGCTAGAATCCTGCATCTAGTGCTGGTGCCCACAATTCAGGAATGATATTGATAAATTGTAAAGGGTTGAGAGAAGAACCATAAGAATAATTAAAGCATTGTTGCCAGTAAAAATAACATCTTTTTCCTAAAGAAACTACAGCTTTAGCTTTTCAGTGTAATCAAATTTAGACTTTTCGAAGGACAATAGCCGTGACCACTGCTGCTCCTCTAAAACTGAATCTGTGAATGATCTTCCATCTTAAACTGCAGTGTAATAAGAAATAACCTTTACTGCCAGTTTTCTTATGGTGCAAGACTAGTTAAAACACCATAATCCCTTTATAGTTATTTCTTCATTAAATATACTGTTAATAACTTGTTAAATAGAGTAAGTGCTGGAGAAGTGGTTGACATTTTTTTCTGTAACTCATCATCTTGGAGTTCCTGGTTCTGACAAGCTACAGGTTGGACCTCCCTGGTGTGGCACCTCTAGGACCTGACTAGTCCCAGACAAGGAAGTTTGCTGGACCTGGGAGGTCTGAGAGAAGGGTGCATCCCCCTCCCCACTGAACTGGAACTGCTGGAAGTCTTGTGAGCTGTAGCAGAGCTCCTGGTAGCCCTGCTGTCCTCACGGCAGCCCTGCCACACTGCCGAAACTCTGGCTGTGGGCTCAGCTGCCCCACAGGCTCTGCTGCCCCATTGGCCGGCTCCACTCCAAGCCACTGGCAATCTCTGCCGCTAGGGCTGTCTAGTCCAGCAACATCCATGGTCTTGCCAGACCACAGGCGTTCAACCTGTAGTAAAATGACCAAATGAAGATGGTCTTTGGCTACACTGGGGAAGATCCAAATACCAGCTATTCAGATGCTCTGCTGGGCAAAGTCTCTAAATTAATTGCTGAGCTTCTAGCAATCCCATTGTTCTATCAGAGTAAAATAATACAAGATTAATAGTCTTGTTTGTTTCCAAGGTTATACCTAATCATAAATTCTTTTCATAAAAAGAAATTCATAAAATTATATTCTCAGACTATCACAGATGTGTTTACATTAGGGAAGTTAAATTTAGTTTAATCAACTACATTGACTAGTTGATTTGTTGATAAGTGGGGGAGCTGCAGCAGGGTTAGCTTCTGGCCCTAGGAGTGAGTTGCCAGGTGTCCGTTATTGTACCAGACAATCCAATATTTGCGCACTCTGTTCAGTAAAAAAAAATCAGAAAATACAAAACATGTGCAATGGCTGGTATTATCTGATTTTTTTTTCCGGCTGTACATGAGGCGGAAGCCTGGCATGGGCGGGGGGAGCGGCTGGGAGTCCCGGCTGGGAGGTGGGGCCACAGTTGCTGCTGGGAGTCCTCAGTTGGTTGAGTGTGAGGAGGAGGAGGGGAAGACTCCTCCTCAGTCATGCGTCACTGGGAGCCTGCGCAGGACCTGCAGCGAGTGCCCAGGTCAATCCTGCTCCTCCCCGGCCATTTTGCTCACCCCCCCCTTCCCGGCCAGCTGGTTCTCCCCCACTTCCTCTCCTGATCTCCCCTGGCCAGCGCTGCTGCACC